GTGGTAAAATCTCAGACTCCAAGTAGCATGGAAAGAGATCTAAAGCTGGGAGTCGTCAAGCTGTGTTTGAATCCCAGCTCTCCCTCCTAATTGCTATGAGAGTTTGGGCAAATGATTTAATTGCTCTAAAAGTGTTTCTTCATCTGCTTATTAAGGTACAATGCATTTGCAAACCTCTAACAGGTACTGCCACAGAACAGATGTCAGTAAGATAAAATTACACAATTAAACATTTCAAAATTCTTTCCAAACATTTATAATAAGCTACGCTGCTTTTGGTACAGTATTTGTTTCATTTGCTACAAACGATTCAGCTGATTACAAAATTATAATTACTATATCTACCATAAGTTAATGGATATCTTATAAACCCTGTCATTTTATGTCATGATGAGAGTTCTGGCGACACAGCTGGCACAGGACTCTAGGGCTTCTGACTTCATCACCCCCAGCTCCCCTCCCCAGTAGTCTTAGCTACTATACATACACCCCAGTACTCCAGACAAATCAGTATGCAATCAGAACCCAACTGTGCACCAGGGTCATGGCCTTTCCAAAAGGGATTCTGGAACTTATGCAATTTAAGGTAAGTGCCTGGGTGTTGGTGTCCCTAAAATTTAAGCCACAGTCAGCAAGTTCCATGAAAGTTCTATGACATTAGAGATGGTGTCCCAAAAAGGGGCCCAGTCAGCTTGACGGTCTCTTCCCTGACTCAGCCAAATATAGTTAATGACTTAAAACCAAGAACAATCTAGGCTTTGTGTTAATATCCACAACTTTGTGATAGGTGTTACTGTTATGGTTTTTATTATGTAATACACGGGGAGTAATAATCATCCAGTATGATGCTTAATAAGTCCTTCTCACTATGAACTTAGTCTGTTATTAGAGAATAATAGGAGCAAGGTGGCCTAGGAAAATATGAATTCTGGCATTAGGCCTAGGTTTGAATCCAACTATGCCTGAAAAGTTACTTAATCTTCTGACAACATAGTTTCTTCGGGTAAAAAAAAAAGGAGAAAATACTGTGGATTAAAATAGGTTAAGTATATTTTGAGTACAATAAATGACCAAAACATGGCACCCATCATTATTACAGTTTGCATACCGTAATAATGTTGCTTTAGGCTGAAAGCTAATAATGTTATAACTGTAAAGGCTGTCAAATTCTGTCAAAGAAAGGTATCATTCTTGACAAGTATCACAAATAATGAAGTCCACATAGAAACAAAGTTCCTTTACGTAATCACCTTATCAAATGATTACTACCCCCTTTTAAGAAGTTTCCAAACAGTTCCAGTGAAAAATGGACAAATATCGTGCCTGTGATCAGGAGAATCTGAATAGAATGAATGCAGTGAGTGTGTGTCCCATCTTCTGTAACCAGCTTGCCTTGGGCATTTTATTAACCTCAACACTGAGATTTATGGGATTTTTTTAGACTACCACCGCAGCATCATAAAATAATTTTATTATCTTTGAATATCACCATTGTGATATTTTGATGCTTCAATTGTATAGGCCACATACCCATCATTCCATAAAACACTACTGTAGGTGTTGCTGTGAAAAATATTTTGCAGGTAAGGCTAGAATCCATCATCAGTCCACATTAAGGGGGATTATCCTAGATAATCCTGGGCCTGATTCAACTGGTTGAAAGGTCTTTTTTTGGGGGGGGGGGCTATGGTATATTTTTTATTTTTTGAATGACAATATTTAAAAATTGGGAGACATTACAATAAAAACTAGAGAATCCTGGCTTTTTTTTAAAAAGAAATGTTTCAAAATGGGGAGAATGCGGGCCCAGTTTGGTTACATTTTCACAGATCTTCTCTATGCCTGTTTTCTTAAAAGCAGAACTGAGGCTTCTCTGAGGAAGAAGAAATCCTACCTGTGCAAGTAGCTTTGGTTTGTGCCCGCGATTTCAAGCCTGCTCTCTCTGACGGCCTGCTCTTCAGACCTGATTTGTCTAGCCAGCCCCACAGCCATGTAAGCCGATTCTTGCAACAAATCTCCTAATAAATGTCTTCTACAAGTTCTGCCTCTCTGGTTAAACACGGACTGATAGAGCTAGTTACTTGTCCCTTCTTTTGCTTTAAATCTGACTGCACCTGACATTTAAGGTGGAAAAGGCTCCTAAAGGTTCTCTTTATTATGAGTAAGTTGAATGAAGTATATTATTTTCATGGTAGATGTGAAAATGCTTTTACTTTAACATGTTTCTCTATTTTGCTATACCTTTCTTACCTTTTCATTTCAGAAGAAACTGTCAAATGTAGATTCAATGACAACCTTCTTTTGTAAATCAACCTTTTGTTGTAACTCAAAATAAAAGAAATATATTTAGCCCTGGCTGGTGTGGCTCAGTGGATGAATGTTGGCCTGCAAACCAAAGGGTCACTGGTTTGATTCCCAGACAGGGCACATGCCTGGGTTGCAGGCCAGGTCCCTAGTACGGGGCACACAAGAAGTAACCACACATTGATGTTTCTCTCCCTCTTTCTCTCTCCCCTCCCCTCTCTCTAAAAATAAATAAAATCTTCCTTAAAAAAAGAAATATATTTAACTATTACATACAAGTAAAAAGGGAAGATCAAATTGCATGGCAGACTGGAAAAAAACTGAAACTCATATACAAGTGTAATTTCCTATGAATTTAAAAGATTTTATTTTTAACCATATGTTGTATGTGCTATTACAGGTGTCCCAGTTTTTCCCCTTTGTCCCCCTCTGCCCAGTATCCCCCACTCCCTCAGGCAATCCCCATATGATTGTCCATGTGCATGGGTCACACATGTTTCCTGGCTACTCCTTACCTATGCTGTACTCTACATCCTCAGGACTATTCCGTACCTACCAATTTGTGCTTCTTACGAATCCCTTCACATTTCTTGCCCGTCCCCCAACTCCCCACCCCAACACACATACATTCTAGCAACTACCAAATGTTCTCTGTATCTTTGAATCTGTTTCTGTTTTTTAGACTCAATTGTTGATAGATGTGTTTATTGCCATTTTATTGTTCATATTTCTGGTCTTCTTCTTAAAGAAAACCCTTTACCATTTCATTTAATACTGGTTTCATATAATACTCCTTTAGCTTTCTCTTGTCTTGGGAGCTCTTTAAATGTCCTTCAATTCTAAATGATAGTTTTGCTGGTTAATGATAACTTCTGGCTGTAAATTCCAGTGGGGATTAAGGCTGTGGAAGGCAGAAACTTCTGGAGACTCAGGCAGAACCTCTTAAATGGTCCACATAGAGACTTACTCAGACTTGCTCCCTCTGAGCTTCAATATGCAGGTAGCAGATGGACGGGCACCAGAGACACCGGGAAGGAACTGAATTGTCCGGCATCAGCACAAGAAGCAGGGGACAGCTTTCTCCCAGAGAAGTCCTGGCACTGACCACTGTTCCTTTTCTGAGCCCTCCCTCCACAGAGCCATAGAGCTGGCAGGCGAGCATCTTTTCTGAGATTCCACCGACCTGGCTCACTGTTTACTCTACACTGCTGATCCCCTGAGGCCCTTCCCCACCTGATTTTCAGGCCCACTCGAGCTGTTTCCAGTGGCTTTTCTATATGAATGGATTCTCTTGGCCCATTCTTCAGATTTTCCTAAATTCTTTCAAATAAGCAGCATCTGTTTTCAGCAAGCCCTGAGCCCCATATCTCTTGCTAAGTTGCCCCAGGCCCTGCTCTAGCAGCAGCCAGCCTTGGTTCACACCATGGCCTTATCTGGGCACCTACAAGCCCAGCACAATCATCAGCCATCTATGTATCATTTTGTAGCTTATTCTGTGTGACCCTGGACAAAACACAGTTGGTGGCTGACCATGGATGTACCAACAGCAATCAAGGTTTAACTACAAAAGGAGAGTGCACACAGCTCACAGAGTGGGTACATACTGAGTACCCAGCTTGGGTAACAGAAAAGCCTGTGCCACTGGACCCTACAGGACATCAACTACAGTAGGCCATGTTACCAACCCTGGAAGAGGTAGCAGCTCTACCTAATACATAGAAACAAACACAGGAAGGTTTTGAAAATGAGGAGACAAAGAAACATGGCCCAAATGAAAGAACAGAACAAAACTCCAGAAAAAGAACTAAACAAAATGGACAATCTACTAGATGCAGAAACACTGGCTATAAGGATGCTGAAGGAACTTAGTGGAGACCTCAACAGCACTAAAAAATCCAGTCAGAAAAGAAATATACACTAATTGAAATAAAGAAGGAATCAATTAGTAGAATGGATGAAGTCAAGAATCAAATCAACAATTTGGAATATAAACAAGCAAATCAGAACAGCAAGAAAAAAGAATTTAAAAAATGAGAATAGTTGAGCCTCTGAGACAACGTTTAGCATACTAAAATTTGCATCATGGGGGTATCAGAAGGGAAACAGAAAGACCAAGAAATTGGAGACCTATTTGAAAAAAAAAAAGACAGAAAACTTTCCTAACTTGCTGAAGGAAATAAACACACAAGTCCAGGAGGGATGGAGAGTCTCAAACAAGATAAACCCAAAGAGACCCACTCCAAGATTCATCACAATGAAAACGCCAAGGGTTAAACAAGAGAGACCCTTAAAAGCAACAAGAAAGTAATCAGTTAGTTACCGAAAAAGGAACTCCTATAACACTGTCAACTGAAATAACAATCTAATTTTAAATGACCCAGCAGTAAAATTTTCATAACTCTTCCAGACAGAATTTTTTAAAGCTGTTTCTTAATACTAATGATCTCTTTCCAAGTTTCATTTCATCCTTGACTACCCTGGGAATTTCTAAAACTCAAGTATAATTACACAAAGATAGGTTTTGAGAGCTAATTTGAAAATAAGAATAAAAAAGCAGGATTTAAAACTAAGCTCAAATTTTAATTTAACATAAAGTATTATTCATGACAATTTTTCTAAGATAAAATGAAGTACTCTTCAAAAAAGAAAAACTCCACTTTAGAAATGTTAAACATTTATTCATTTTCTTACTGGGAGCATTTTTCCTGGTTGTAATAAGGATATGCACAAATAACCATAATTTTTGATTTCTAAATATTAACAGCCCAAAATTCAAAGCGATTCCCCCCATACAGATCAGGTACAATTGTAAAATAAATTATTTTAATTACAAAGTACTAGTACCAATATATATCTAAGAAATGCATTACCATTTATCTGTAATAACAAACAAGTGTTTTGATATTTTTATTATAAAAACTGAGTTTTCAATAAAGGCAGTTTAGAAGGACTATGGTTCAGAAAATAATTTGAACTAAGCAGTCCTTTAACTTAAACTAAAATCATGGAAGAATAAAATGTGAAGTGAACATTTTTCTGTGATATATGTGTAAATATTTTCAATGTAAACAAAAGCAAAGATGAAAAATTAAATATCTTTGTTAGCAACCAAATTACACAGATTTAAAACGTTATTTTATTTTCTTCATGCTTCAATTGAACACAACTGGTATAAGCAGAGCAACAGGAATTAGATGAACCTTTACAATCCCCTCATACCCTTCAGGAGGTTACATACAATAAAGACCTCGGTCTAGGAGAAAAGAAGTTACTAGGGGAATTAGACTCCAGAAAGTCATGACTTTCAAATATTAAGTCACTCTTTTTGCTCTACTGTGAAACAAGATCGGTTGACCAGAATTTTGCCAGATGAAGAAGGTACAGCTGACACTGGTGAGATCCAGCACTCACTAACTTGCATGGCAGCACGCTAGGCTCAATGACAAGGAGACTTTCCTCTTAACTAGGGTCACCCATGCGCTGGAAGATAATGGCTTCCAACACAAAACAGACAATGCGGAAGTGGATATATTTTCAACAGAAGCATTTCTTGAAGCATGCCCCAGGGACCGCCTGAGTCACAATCAGGGAGAGTGCTCAACAAAATAAAAGCATGCATTCCTGGGCCCAAGCCCAGACCCTCTGGGGGTCCTGGGCAGCTGCACTGTTGATGCCCCCCTGGGAACACTTAGACACATATTCATATTGAAGTTTGCACATGACTACTGCAGACTATTAGGGATTTCTTTTGACCACAAATATTTCACTATGTCTTTCATGCTTCTTACCTATTGGCCAGAAGAAAAATAAAAACAAAACATTTCTGATTATGTCAGTCAGTGGTGATAATTAGTAGTGGTATTTATTTTCCCCTCAAGAAAATATAGGGGAAGAGGCAACATATGAGTCTGCACCTAAGTTTTTCAAAGGTACTCCATAGTACTTTTTAAAAAGCTTTCAAAATGTATACATAATAAAAAACGCTCAAAATGATTTGTAAACTGCCATCTGATCAAGATTATCCAGTGTAAAGAGAACTGCTGAGCGGTGTTGCTGAATTCACACAAAGGCTCCTTTCTTCCGTTTTCTTTCACAAACACCGAGCATCTCAGCAGGCACTCGAGGGCTCTCTCCAAATGGTAACACTGCCTACCAGGCCGCACAAAAGTACCTAAGGATTGCTCATAAAAAATGACAAATACGACAAAAGCTCAGTTTCAACTCCAACCTAAAAGGAGTCTCAAGGCCTACTGCCAATATGTAAGATGAATACAGAGCATGCTAACTTTCCTTAGAGAAAGTCGAGGGAAATATACTTAATGTCTGCTTGAAATCCAGTTTATATTGACAATGGGAAGTAGACACCCTTCTACATGCTGCTACTATTTACCACTGTGTTTGTGTTCTGTGAGATACTTACGGACACAAAATTCTTACCTGTGAAGAACTTAAGCAGAAACCAGAGGTAGGTGACTATCATCAGATGATTTCAAACCAGCACGTTAAAAAATAATACACTTGAGTCCAAAAAAACGCTCTTTAACAGGAGAATGAGTTCCGACACCATTTCAATTCCAAAAGCAAGGTTTCCCAGGTCTTTTTTGTGATGTGATCCACCTGCCAACATCCTAACCCCTGATGACACTGTGCCACGTGCTCTTCAGACGCTCACTGTTCAGAAATAGCTAGTAAAATAAAGTGTAAAGAAGTAATACTGGAGACCAAACAGTGAGGCTGTCCTCATCTGGGTTCTCCAAAAATCTCCACTTTCATATGGAGGAAAACACACTATGGCTGGGCCAGACCTTACATCCATCTAATCCAGCTCTCTGGCTGTATAACTGAGGAAATAGAGGTCCATTTTCCCCACTGGCTCACAAAGCACTAAAATTCAGAAAAGCTTTTATAAATCCATTAAGTGTTCATGGCTAATTTACCTATTTATAAAGCCCATGACATAGCCAAGAGGCTACACTTTCAGCCCTTTACACACAGCCTCCGCCTGAAGCCCTACCCCTGTCAGCTACTGTATAGAGTATACCAGTGGCTTGAGAGAAGGGGACCAAAGAAAGGGTCCAGATGCACCTCAGGGGTCAGATCATAAGCAAGAAAATAATCATCTGAAACCCCAGACGCGCCCTATTACAATTTGCTCTATGCCCAGAGCAAGGCTTAGATTTGCTTCTTGGCGGCAGACTCACCTCTGAGCGCATTCACAGACTCCAGCGCTGCTCTGGGCAAGCACAGGTAATAGTGCTGTTCTGGAAGCCCCGAAATATTTAGAAACAGCTGCACAACTGGAAACCTCAAACCCCACAAGGCCAGAACCTACATACAGCTGCATTTCACTTCTCCGTAACTGTTAAGTCACTTGTTTTGTAAACCAAAAAATCACCTTATTTTCTGATAGCCTCCTTTATCTAAGATTTTAAAGTTCTACTGTGAAAGGGAGATTGGGAGTGACTTTATTTCATTTTATATCCCCCGGACTTTCTTACAACAGTTTCACATTCCTTTTAGTAATTATAAAGTGAAGTTATTTTTGAAGGTTTTATAGTCTATGAAATAAAAGGACATACTAAGTTCAGGTGTGGGTGCTGGCTCTGTAGCCCCAGGACTCTGATGGATTATTTTGGATTGCAGCTCTACCATTAACCTTGGGTAGAATTTTAGTCTCTGAGACTTGCTTTCTTCACCTTAAAAAGGAAGAAATAATACCTACCTCACAGGATGCTGTGAGGATAAAAAATGCACAGTGCCTGGCACATGGTAAGTGTCCAGTAAGTGGTCGGCCCTGCTGGACTCAGTGAGAACCCTTGAGTAAAAGGAATCCCCTCAGCCCACAGCAGCTGCCCCTCACTGCACCCCATTTAAATCTGAAAGGGTGCTCTGTCTCCTTAACTTTGCCCTATTACTCTGAAGAATTGCTATTGTGCTTAGAAAAATCTCTACATTTCTACGTTCTCTCCTTTAAAACTGCGCATGCAGATGAAAGATTTTTAAAAATCTTCTTAGAAATGATAATGCAGTGTTTCCTAAAGTACAACGTGTCATGTATAAAAACAATTCGGAAAAACACGATTGAATTAGCTTGTACACTGTTTCTTAAAGTGCACCAAAGCAAATATTAATGACCTTTGAAATGTCACAAACCCCCTTGGGTTATTTTTTAAAATAAAAGTAAATGTTTATCCACTGAGATGTATGTGGTTTTTGGCTCCAATATGATGGCAGAAAGCAGCAGTGTCTTCCAGAAGAGAAAGAATTAATAAACTCAACTAAGTACACCTGAGCAACATACCAAACACCTACAATTCAGTGTAACTGCAGGCTCAGTGAAGCACAATCCTGATTCCTACCTCCGAAACACAGCCAACCAAAGGAACAAAAACCATCTATCTCCCCACCCTGAATCAAGGATTTCCCTTGAATCCTGGAGGTAACATTGGTGATCACTTCCCTTTTGTGTATCCTGGCTAACAGACTTATAACTGGTCACCATTCCTTCTTTATACTGCACACACACACTTACACACGAACCTATGAAAAACAGTAAAGTGTAAGTGCAACAGCCATATGAAAGAAAGTTCAGAGTCAGATAAAGAACCACCATCACCCAAAACGTCAGGCAGTTCCCACATTCACACCACTGTCCGGTGCTCCCCGCACACATAGACCGCGCTGGGCCGTATCCGGCGCCTCGTGTGGCCAGGGAGCCGCGGCAAAAACTTGAAGGACTTGGGCATCATGTCCAGGCAGGCATCATGGAATTTCTTAATCCTCCAGTAGTAAATTAGTGGGTTCAATGCAGACTTGAGGTAGCAGAGCCAAAGCAGCCAGGTGCTAATCTCAAAAAAGTTGTGCTTATAGTAAAAGTGCTTACTGAATGTTGCCACAAGGCTGTAGGTGGTGAACGGGGCCCAGCAGATGATGAAGACTGCAAAGAGAATCAGAATGGTGGTGAAGGCACGTGTTTTAAAGCCCATGTCGATGCTCATCTGGAAGGGTCTCTGCAGACTCATGAGACCCAGTTTGCTGGCCTGGCTGAGGCATATACCCTCAGGGTAGCTATGGATCCTCAAGGCATTGTGCCGAAGGGTGTTGAGTATGCCCATAAATGAGTAGAGGATCACCAGGAAGGGTATGAAGAAAGAAATAAGAGAGATCAAAATCACATAAGCCTGGTATCCGGGATTGGTTGAGTAGCCAAACACGCACTGTGGGGCACGGGAAGGTATCTGAAGGTCAGGGTTTCCGACAGCCAAAGGGAAGGCTATACAAAAGGAAGTCGCCCAAGATACTGCAATCAGAACCTTAGCCCTATATGGATTTAGCTTATCCTGCCTCTGGACTATAATAAGGAACCTATCAATGCTAATGATGAGCAGGATGGCTACTCCTTCAATCACAAATAACCAGAAAAACATAGCAGATACCCTACAAAAGAACTTCCCAAAAATCCATCTGGTAGTAAGAATAGTTACCAAAGCAAAGGGCATGTTCAGCACTGCCAGCAACATGTCTGCAAATGCCAGGCTGGCAAGAAGGATGTTAATGGCAGATCGCATGGCAGCTTTTTGGTAAACCATGAGGCAAACCACCAAGTTCCCAAGAAAAGACACAAACAGAATAAATATCATTATAGCAGAAAGAATGATTTGGAGGGGCAAGTTTAGGCTCTCATAAACTGCTGGTGTTGGGGGTACAGCTGTGCTATTCACCGTCAAGGAACTCATCTCCGTGGGAGCCATGGTTTCAGAATTGTATCTCAGCAGTGGACCAATGCCAGGATGCTGGAATGGTGGGGGGACCGTAACATTCGTGTAGGTGTTTTCATAGACTACAAACGTGGTGTTGGTTGGCCCAGTGCGGGACGCCGTCAACACTGCGGAGAAGACCATGGTTTCAGTAGGATGGAAGGCGCCAGCAGGCAAGTGGGTGTTCTTTAAGCATCTCAACACCGAGCAGCAGTATCATGTTTCACTGACGGGCTAGGGAACACAGTCTGGAAAATAAACAAAGACGTCCATCTTCCACAGGAGTCCTTTTGCCTGAAAATGAGCCCAAAACACAGAAAGTAAATGAGAAATGAGGTTTGTAAGTAACTTTTAACTTCTTACCTTTCATCGTGAAGGACCAGGTTAGCTTTTTTTTTTAACCCTTTAAAAATATTTACATCTCTAGCAAAGGCAGTACTAAAATACTGCTGTTCTGTTGTTTTATTTTTAGTCAACCATGGCAGAAATTTCACATATGAGGTGAAAGCGATAGAACCAAAACATATTATTGCTTCAAAGTCAAAAGTTACAACCTTATTTTTAATTCTTCTTTTAAATTGCTGCCATTTGTGTGATGTGGGTTCTTCCTTCTTTGTTGCAGAGATAACCTCTTTAATTAGAAAGAATTCTCTTTGGATTTCTGGGTAATTCCTTTACTAAATCCCAAAGACTGGTGGAAAAATAAATGCCTGGGAGCTTAACTTGCTCATTATTTGGACTTAGAATTAGTCACTAATTTCAGCGGCAAATTCCAAAAGTTCATTTATTCATTTCCTGGGGTGTGGAGGGTGGAGGCACCCACTTGGCAGGCCCAAGATCCAGCCCTACAGCCAGATCATGGACTGTCTATCATGCCGGTATCTCTCTACAGTCGCCTCTGATGTCAGGGCTGCCTTTATGAATATGGAGAACAACCTGCTTGTTCAAAGTATTCATTTTACTAGTTATCCTCACTTTTATAACTCGATTTCTTTGTCCCTACTAGATGTTACCCATCTTCACATTTTCACTTTGAAAAGCAAAGTGGATGAGATGCCACAATGAGGCAGTGATCTCAAACTTTATTAACTACAAAGGGCCCATGATTAGGGGGCTGTGGTAGTTAGAAAGCCATGCACCATAATCTCTTTAGAACTACCTAAATATAAATATGAATAAGATGAAGACTGTGCTTGCTACATACATCAGACTCAATACAAGTTTATCTATAAAGAAATATTATAAACAGGCAAATATGTATCTTAAGCCTAATGTAACAGCTATAATTGTTCTTGACCAAGTAAAAAAACATATATCCATCCTGAAATAGTACACATTTTATTGTGTGTTAAAATATAATTGACACATAACATTAATTTCATTTTGTATATACAATGATTCGATACTTGTACCACTGTAAAATGATCACAATAAGTCTAGTCAACATCTGTCATCATACATAGTTAAAATTATTTTTACAGTGATGAGAACTTTTAAGACCTTAGCAACTTTCAAATATACAATATTACTAACTATAGTCACCTGCTGTACATTATATCCTCATGACACTTATTTTGTAACTGGAAGTCTGTACATTCTGACTTCCTTGGTCCATTTTTTCCACTTCCTATCCCCCACCTCCAGAAACCACCAATCTATTCTCTGTATCTATGAGCTTGGTTTTCTTATTTTGTTTTGTTTAGATTCCACATATAAGTGAAATTATACTGTGCTTGTCTTTATCATCTCACTTATTTCACTTACTATAATGCCCTCAAGATCCACCCATGTTGTTACAAGCAGCAAGACTTCATTTTTTATATGGCTATTATTCCATTGTGTGTGTACATAACCACATATACATTCATACATACATACAAATAGAGGTGCATGTATACCACATTTCCTTTATCCATTCATACACTGATGAACACTTAGGTTGTTTCCATACCTTGGCTATTGTGAATAACGCTGAAATGGACATGGGGCTGCAGGAATCTTTTCAAGTTATATTGCTGTTTTCTTTGGATAAATGTACAGAAGTAGAATTGTGGGTCATATTATAGTTCTCTTTTGAATTTTTGGAAGAACCTCCATACTGTTTTTCACAGTGGCTGTTCCAATTTACAGACCCCTTTTCTCCACATCCTTGCCAACACTTGTCGTTTTTACAGCGGTCATTCTAACAGGTGTGAGGTGATGTCTCATCATGGTTTTCCTTTGCATTTCCCTGATGATTAGTGATGCTGAGCATCTTTTCATGTACCTATTTGACATCTGTATGACCTCTTTGGAAAAATGTCTGTTTAGATATGCCCATTTTTAATTGGCTTGTTTGGGGTTTTTTTTGTATTGAGTTGTATGAGTTCTTATATGACATGGATATTAACCCCTTATCAGATATATGATTTGCAAATATTTTACCCCACTCAGTATGTTGCCTTTTCATTTTGTTGATGGACACACATTAAAACATTGTTTCCCGGGCCAGCTTGAGAAACAAAAACAAAAAATGGAATGAAACCAAAGCAAAACCACATTTAAAAGATACTTTTTAGGTTATTATATATACATATACAATCATAATATTTGCTATCAAAGCCTCCCATTATTATAAAAACTTCTAACACAACTGATTCAATTACTCATTTATCAAATATTTATTTTATAACCTAGTATGTGCCAAGCACTGGAGAGACAGCAATAAACAAATGGTTCCTGGATTTCTGGTTAAACAGGGCAGACTAACCGTAAACCCTGCACCTCAAAATCGCACTAAAATTACAGTAGAGGGATTTTTTAAAAAACAAAGATACAACCCAAAAGGACAAAAGATAAAAATGAAATACAGGTCAGTAGTCAGGGACTTTTTTTTTAAGCAAAAAGCAAATGGGAATGTGGTAATGGACTGAACAGACCAGAAGAGAGGGCCCTCAACACCTCCAGGGAAAAAGGCTTAGAAGAAGCGGACGCACCCTATAGACCCCCAGAGAAGCTTTACATTGGGAAGCACAGATTAAATAAGACAGGCATCACACATAAAGTCGTGTGTGTTCTTTGTTTATCAATTCTTTTTTTTCTAATTAGAATTCCTGGATATGGAACAAGGGCCTATATATTTTTGCCTACAAGAAGCCCCTGCTACATGTCCAGGAATTCTGATTAGAAAAGGGGAATGCGGGACAAAGAACACACTAGGACGGAGGGGAGTGTACTCCTGACTTCTCCTGTGAGGCAGATGGAGCCTGAAATAAAGAGTGAGGCATTTCACTCAGAGGCAACCCACATGTCAACTTTAGTTTATTAAAAATAAAACAAAAAGCAATCACTTTCGGGGGCAATCTGCTTTAAAATTAAAAGGAATAGTCTACAAATAAATTTATATCACAACAGAAATGTCTACTTTTGGGGAGCTGAATTGTTTGGGTTTTGGGGGGTTTGGGATTTGTTGTTGTTGTTGTTGCTTGTTTTGCCTATAGGCAGAGTAACGGAAAGCTTTGAACAAACTGACCAAAAGAGAATGTGTAACAATTAAGTGTAATGGATGATGTGGGGAGGGGTCCACTTAAAAGTTATTTTTATAACGAGATTATCATCACTGCACTAAAATTTCACTTATTTTCAGGGTATCGCTAACTTAAACCCTACAAGCAATAAAACTAAAGGGGACAAAATGCTAGGAGCACATTTTAAGGATAAACCTCAGGTGGTGTTCTATTTATACTACTGTTCCAGTTCTGGTATATTTCTAATTCTTACCAGAAAGTTTACCACAAAAGAAAAGAATGTGTCTCATTTTCCTATGAAGAAACATTTAGTTCTCCAACGGACGTGTTTAAAATTAGATTATTAAGCATGAGGATGTATTTGCATTCACGTTACTTTTCCCCACCAATAATGAGGAGAAATGAAACTAAATGTCAGCGAGGGCTCTGTTCAAGGCAAATATTCTAAGTGATTTCTGATGACAGTTAAAACTGAAAGTCAAGTGGCAAAACAGGTCGACACTTAGTAGAAAAATATATTACTTATCATTAAAATCCAGGAAAAAACTTAAGTGGCTGATAGAAGATTAACCTTCTGGAAATTTTCTAGAAATACAAAAAGAAAGAAAACTGATGAGCCCCAAGGGTGACAGGTTTCATTAATATCCCTTTTGTCTCCTATTTGCATTTTTATCCTTGGGCTTACATTCATTAGATCATTGTTCTGCTGAGAATCTTTACCTGCCTTGAAACTACTATTGGGGGAAATGCAGGCCATCTTCACTTCATCAGCCTTTTTGAATAGTTCACGGATACATTACTTTCCTGCCATGCATGTTTCTCACAATGATATTTGACTGTAAATTCAATATTTGGAATGAAACATCAAGTCTAATAATTAGATCATGAACCTGGAATCTTAAATCATAAGCCTGCTGAGATCTATAACTGCTATGTTAAAACTTGAATATCACCTGTTATCATCTATGAACCATTTGCATAGGGCAAGGGTGAAAAGCTTTGTTTTGTTTTTTACATCTAAGGAAGTACCTGGCACATGAGTTTTGATGGCCCCACAGCGCACTTTCTGAGTTCCAGCCTCACGGACTCACACACTCATTTAACATCTATCTCCATAAGGATGTCTCTCAAAAGCACCTCAAACTCTACATGTCCAGATCGAACCGCGGGGATGGCTCCTCCCCGCTCCAAGCTGCCCTGCACTAACATTCTCATGCTCTGTGACTCCATCACCACCCACCTGGTTTTACAAGCCAGACACCTACTAGTCACTTTCTCATCTTCCTCCCTCAGCTATAACTGACTCCATCCTCCGAGAGCTGTACATTGTAACCCCTAAATATTTTTCCTATCAGGTCATTTCTCTCCAACCATCTACAGTATCCTGTCCAAACTACCAACGACTCTCATAAGGTGGAAATTTTTGCCTGGGTTCTTCACAGCTGGATTCCTAATACCTACTATGACTGTGCCTGCCACACTTGATGTTCAGTAAACATCTGTTCGATGAAAGAACACCTCCTGCTAATTATTCACCTATCCTTTTCCCTGTTCACTTTGTGACTTCTTACACCTCCAGGGCTATGGGAATCTTCTGTGGTCCGCTGACCAAGCCAATCCCCACCTCTAGTCTATTGTCTCATTCTGACTCTTACTTCTCTGTGATAACACCCGATCCACAAACATTTTACAGTGTCCGCAGCCCTCCCTGATTCGTGCTGGGCCTCTGCCCACCCCATTCGACCCAGCTCCGGCCAGCAAACTCCAGAAAGGCAAAGATGTGATTAT